CGTTGAGGTAAGAGTCGACCAGGGCGACCCCTTCAAAGTACGGATCAATGGCGCAGCCCAGCATAGAATAACCAATCGGTGACAAGCCGTAACTAATCTTGATTCAAGATTAGTTACGGTCTGTCACCGTACTTTGAGGGGGCTGCCCTGGTAGCATTGTTTATACCTAAAAGCACAAGATAATGCACGTATCAATATGAGCGTCTGCGCGGTATTTCGAATATGTACGCCTATGTACATTATTGTTATCTTAGGAACCAATTTCATTATGATAAAACCTGCTGATATTGCATATAGGTCCCTTGGCCAATAGACCAAAAATGTAGCTTAATAACTACCAATGGACTATATCCATTGACCCAATGAACAATATCCATTGACATTTTTTTTGAATATATCATAATGCCAACCCTGTCAATGACAGTATAGGAAATAAGTGTGTGAGAGTGAAAACCTGTAACTGTACTTAATGACTTATTATGGTAAGTTATAGATTTTCACTCTCTCGCGCACTACTGTATTTGAAAATGCCCGTGAGTATATTTTGAAACTGTGCATACTATTCTTAAAGGGTCCAGTTTTTGAAATAGGGCTCTATAATTATTTTACAATTTGTCTTTTTTGAAATCTGGAGTTTCCGTAAGGACAAATCGATTTTATACTAAGTAAATATCCCTTCTATCTATAACAAAAGTTGTAGGAAAGAAAATTACGAGCATAATAGTGGTTGAGACATTAAAATTAGCCCAGTGGATCATGAGATATGGATATTTTGTTTTCGCAGGTACAGACAAAAAAGTAATCAAATAGTCGTGAAGACAAAAATGGCCATACTTACGATCCACTGGACCGATTTTAATGTATAAAACGGATTTATCCTTAGAGAAGCTCCAGATTCCAAAAAGACAAAAATTATATAGTAAACATATCTCCGCAGTTTACTATGATTGGTCACTGGTTCTTAGGCGGATTACGAATTAAAAAAAATTTTTTTAAGAACACTCATCCGCCGCCATCTAATAATAACCCTAACCCAACTATAAAAGTACCTCACCTGATAGATCAAGCATTTTGGTGATTGAAATAGTGCAAAAATATTTAGATAGAAGTCAACGGATCCATATCATTTCACCGAAAATCTTCATAAAGACTTATTTCGCAGACAATTAATTCGCAGATAAATTATTTACAAGCAATTGATTCACAATAAAATTCATTTCATGTGAAATAAACTTGTTTGTAAATTAATCATTTATAAAACAATCTTACTTGTGAATTAATCATCTGTGAAGGTAATAATAGACGTAGTGAAAGGGTGAAATAGAAGGTGGAAATGTAATAAAGGTAGAAGTAGAATGGAATGGTGGTATATAGAAAGAAGTGGGAGAAGGGAAACGGAAGGAAAAAGGTGGAATAAAAATAGAAGGGAAGGAAGTAGAAAGGAGAAAATGAAGAGAAAAAGAAATAGGTGGAATGG